GGCAGCACGACGCCGCAGTCCCGGGGTTTCACCCGGCGCGGCTCTGCCTGCCGCTCTCGGAGAGACGGAGAACGCGCCCTGGACTCGGCTGTCCTCGTTCTCCCTGCCCCACCACGCTCGGCCACTCGGAGCTGCAGACCCGGGTTCTCGGGCTGAGTGGGTCTGGGGTCAGGAACAGGAGCCAGGGTCCCCAAATCCCCGACAACTCCCGGGCAGGACGGGGGGTGGGACCTGGGACGCCAGCCTTGCCGCCCCAGGCCCGAGCTGACCCCGCCGCCAACGACCCAGTGTCCCGGTGTCCGTCGTGTCGCCGCCGGGTGGCAGCATCCGCCCGCCCTGCGCAGTCCATGATGGGGGTGACCTCCCGGGTGCGGAGCAGGGGAGGGGGCACGCCGCCGACATCCCCCTCCTTTCCTGGCCTCCGGGTCCCACCTGCGACCACCCCCAGGGCGTCCTTCAGACCCGTTGCGCGCAGCTGCACAGGCTCCAGGCGTCAGCGAAAGTTATAGGGACTGGGGGAGGGAGATGTGGGGAGGTGGATTCGGGGCTCGCACCGCTCACGTGTGGCCTCATGCTCGAGCTGGCCTCTCCTCCGAGGCTCCCGGTGCTGCTCCTGGAGCGCCGCGGAACAGGCGGTGACCCTGTCCCCCGGGACAGACTGGGTTAGGCATCCGCTGCTGCGGGGCTCGACCGTGCCACGACAGGTGTCGGTGTGCCGGGTGCGGGTTCCCGAAGCCGAACCCGCGCACATCACTTGACTCTGCGGAGGACTGAGCCTGAGACAGGACCGGGGTGCGGGGGAAGCAGGGGAGAGGCAGAAAGCGCTCCCAAAACGAAGCCACGTAGCCCCCCACACTCCCGTGTTGTTTTGCAAGACAACGGCTTCTGCACTTGGCCCCGCTGGCCGTCTGCCTCATCCCTACGCTGGGTCAGCGCCGCTGGCCTCGAGGCTGGGAGCGCCTCCAGACAGGTCTGCAGGAGGGGAACCCGGGGGACCCCATGCCGATCCCCAAGGGGAAGTGCGCGCGGAATGGCGAGGGGCTGGATGCTCTTCTCCTCCATCAGAAATGGAAGCCAAGTGGCCAGCTCGCCTTGCGCCCCCTGCTCTGTCCTCACCGCTGCAGGCTCGGGGAAGCGCAGGTGCCCTATGCTAGCCGCGCCCTCCCTCGCGTTCTCACGCACCCCCTTGCCGCCCCAACCCATGTTGTCACAGCCCACCCCAGTCCAGTCCCAGGAGGGGGACCGCAAGAGCGCGGGCCTGGGGAGGGGTCCTGAAGGCACCCGGTTTGTGTGTCACCGGGTAGGGAGGGGAAGAGGGAGGGGAGAGACCAGGAGCGAGGGAGAGAGCGCGCGCGGCGCGAGGAGGGCGGGCGGGAGGCGGGTCCTCCTACCTGGGGCGCGCTCGCTCGTTCTCGGCTGGCTCGCCCGGGCCGCGAGTCACCTGGGGAGGCAAGTGCGGACACATTGGCCGCCGCTGCGCTCGGCGAGGCGCACACGGCCCCAGGCAGCTGCGCCCAGTGGAGGCAGCGCCCGCCCGCCCGCCGGCCGCGCCCGGCCCTGGGCCCCCGGCCGAATTCGCGCAGACCCACGGTAGCTCAGCGGGGATCCCAGGTCGCGGCCCCCCGGCCCGCGTCACTCCCCCGGGGCTCACCATGGTGGCAGCGCGTGTCGAGTGCTCGCGCGTCGCCGGCCACCCGAGCCGCAGCGCCGGCTGAACACGGTGCACTCGGCCCCTGCCCGGCCCCTGCCCGGCCCGCGCGTCCCCTCCGGCCGCCGCCGCAGTCTATGGCGCAGCCCCCCTCCCTGGATCATGCACAAAAACTTTCGCAAGTGGATTTTCTACGTGTTTCTCTGCTTTGGCGTCCTCTACGTGAAACTCGGGTGAGTATTCCTGCGAGCAGGGCCGAGGCCGGCGGGAGGTGCTGCCTCCAGGGAGGGTCCCCTCGCCTGGAAGTGAGGACCCGCACGGAGACGGGGGAGGGGGACAGGGCAGCTCTCGGGCTCCGGGGCCGGCCTGCGGGTCGGTCCCTTGCCCCAGTCCTGCAGAGGCACAAGCGGGCCCCCCGGAATCGGGGATACTCCTGAGGGGGCGCCGAGACCAGCGCGGGAGGGAGAGCGGGTAGCGGCGAGCGTGCCCGGCGCGTACTTTCACCTGTTTGGGCTCAGGCCCCGGGGGTGGGACGCGCCTTTCCTCCCCCGGGCTGCGCCGGGCGCCGAGCCCGGGCCCGAGTGCTCACGCCCGGAGGGCGCGCCGGGGCGGCGGGTGGGGGGCGTCGGACAGCCGCGAGAGGCCGGGCCGGCGCGGGGTGGGTGAATGGGGGGGGGGACGCCCCCAGCCGCCGTGCGCTCAGGCCGGGCACCCGCCGCGGCCCACGGTCTCTATCCATCACCCCGACGTGTTGAAATTACCTTGACAACTCGCCGGGCTGGCTCGGGATGGGCCGCCTCGCGCTCGGGCCCCGGGCCCGCGCCCCCGCCCGAGGCCCTGGGTCGGCCCCCTCTCCCCGCGCTCCCCCTCGCGCGCCCGACGGGCCGCGCTCGCCGCTCGCTGCGGTAGCTGCTCCGAGTCGTATTTCCACATTCCTGAACCCAGCCGAGTCCTTACCTGTTGAGCCGCGATCTCCTTTAGACAGACTCTGTCTCGGCCTCGCGCTGAATGGGGGTGGAGGGACGCTGGGACCTGGGGGAGGCGCGCCGTCCCTCCCCAGCGGGGCCGACTCGCGCCCCTCGCACCTGCCGAGACCCGCGCCGCGTGCGCCTACTACGCGCAGCCTCGAAATGGCTCGCGGGCAAGGCTGGGAAACAGGGACGCGGGAGAGGCGGGAGCCCAAGCGGAAAGCACCCACCACCTGAGGACCCTCTCGCGCGTCGCCCACCCCATCCAACCCTTTCCCCTCCGCCATGTTACACTGGGGGATAGCGCGTCCCGGAGGGGGCAGGTCCGGGGCTTCGTGCGCGCAGGGGCCCAGCAGGTCTGGACCGGCGGGTCTGTGGTGGCCGCCGATGGCTCCGTTTATTGTGGGGCTGCGGGCAGGCTGTGTGCCTGGCTGTTTGTTTATGGAGGTGGGGGGCCCCCGCTTGGAGCCCGATGGGGTGGGGGCGGGGCGGCGGGTTCCCGGTTGCTCAGCCTGGGGCAATGGCTCCCTTGCTCCCCAGAGTGATGGACAACCCTTAATGCTGCCGGGGCCTCAGCGCCAAGCCGGTCCTCTGCCCTCCAGCCCTAGAATTAGGAGCTGTAAGGATTAAGAAACCACGCCGGAGCCAAGCCATGTCCGTAGGAATAAGTGGTTGGGGTGAAAAGAGGGGACGTGGGGTGGGGGGTGAAGGGCTGGCACCAGCCTGGTCACCGAGCACTGCTGTGGCCTCTATTTCACGCACAGCAGAGGAGCTGCTTTGGGGCCTTCTCAGGCCTGCTGTCCCCTCTTCCCCGGGGAGGAGGCAGCTCTGGCTATCCTAAATGGCAGCGAAGGGGCGAGCTCCCAGCACCCGCACTGGCTTGGCGGGGGAAGTGGTCAGAGAGCCAGGCACGAGGTGGCCCAAGGGGCCCTTTGGGTGATCGGCTTTGTCCTCCAGCCCCACCCAAGGAACCCCAAAATGAGGAACTCCTCTCTGTGGTATGTCCCCTAAAACACACACTCCCCCACTTCAGGGTTTCCAAAAGTCCCCAAGCACCCTGCGGGGTTACTGGGAGGAAGCCAGAGGCCCACTCTGCTGCATGCTCAGAGGAAAGGGGCGCCTACCTGACCCTGCCCTCTTTACACAAGCTGAGCAGGAGGCCAGACTGCAGGGGTTAAATGATCTGGGTTCCCGGTGAGCAGCTGTCCAGACCAGTGCCTTAAGGCTCCTAGCCTGTGTCTTCGGGTGAGTTCTTGAATTTCTTAACCTCTCTGATCTGATAAAAAAAAAAAAAAAAGCAGAGGGGGATGGTAGCCCTCCGTCACGGGAAGCGGGGGAGGGTATGTCCCTGGCTTTGCATGGGGAAAGGACTGGGTCCCCGTTGCCCCTCTCTGTGCAAATGCCCTGGGCTCCTCCCAGTAGCACACCCCAGGAGCTCAGATTGTGGGTTACCCAGAGTCAGTGTGAGTGTGTGGAGGGGAGAGGTGATGGCGGGTCCACCCACGGTGCCCTTCAGCCCCGGGGAGGCTGAGGTGGGCTCACCTACCAGCCCTTACACCCCCTTGGACAGGGTGGCTCCCCAAAGCCAGATGCAGCCTGGAGTGTGAGCACAGCGTGCTTAGGCAGACGGGACCCCTCACTCGGGGTCCCCTCTAGGCTGAGTACCTTTCTCCTCCCAATCTTGGAGGAGGAGAAGGAGAGAGGGCCACGCCCTGCCCCCTCCCCGAAAGCACCTGAAACCCCCGAGGGTTGAAACGGGGGAGGCCAGGCCTTCCGCCTGGATGCTGAAGCTGTCTCCGTCGCGGTGCGAGTCTGGGAGATTGAGCCGCTGGGGGTGACTGCCTAGTCCCCGCCATGCCTGCTTTCTGCCGACACCCCAGCCTGCCCTGGCAGACCCTAGCATGGAGAACCTTAAATCTATTTTTCGAGCTGAAAACTAAAACTTACTGGAAGAAGAGACTGTAGAGGAAACAGTCCTCAAAGGGACAGCAGCGGCAGGGGAAGCCAGAAGGGGCTTCTGCGCAGGGAGGGCAGCAGGTTCCCACTGCATCCCGAGGTGCGCCGCACGCTCCGGCTCGCGGCACCGGCCTGGCCGGCCTGGCTGTCTGCAGCGGGAGGGTGCGTGGGGCCGTCAGTCAGCAGTGCCCCGGGGGGCACACGCAGGCGGGGACGCAGCACACGCGGCGCATCTGTGCACGCACACCTGCGCCCTCGGCCCGCCCACGCACCCGCGGGCACACGCAGCAACAAGCGGGCACACGCAGCCCAGAAGCAGCAGGGACTTCCCCGCGGGTACCTCGCGGTGTCCACACCCAGGTGCACCCTTCAGAGCCAGGGCAGAGCCCTGTGGCTCGGGAAGATTGGGGTGGGGGTGTTAGGCCAAGAGCCTATTCGGGCGAGCCCTGGGGGCGGCTCCCGCCGCGCGCTCGGGTCAGCCTCCCCTTTAAAAAAACCCGCCCGCGGAGGAGGCGGATGTAGGGGCGGCCCGTCCAATGGCAGCTGCCCGCCTCGGGAGACTTGGAGACGTGAGCCGAGCGAGCTACAGAGCCGGTTCACACCGACTGACGGACAGAGGGCCAGAAGACCGCCAAGACGGGCGCGCTGACCCCGGCCGGGTCCCCGCCTTGCACTCCAGTCCCAGCGCCCGCCGCTGCCCCAGACCCAGCGCGATGCGCGGCCCTGGCGGCGGGACACGGGCGACCTCTGGGCCTGGGCCAGCGAATCCCGGCCCCTAGCCCCCGCGCCGCTGCCCAGCTACCGGGAGGGCTGTGAGGACCCCGGCCTCAGTGGACCCAGACACCCACCCCGCGGGGTCTGTGCAGCCCGGCCGGGCGTCCCTGCTCACCATGCTCCTGCTGTCGCCACGCTGCGCGCTCCTTTCCGTCTATTGCCCTCAAATCTTTCTCCTCCTGTCCAGCGGCAGCTACCTGTGAGTGCCGCGGGCGGCGCGCGGGTGGGCGGGTGGGGTTCCCGGGGCCTCCAGCGCTGGAGCGGGGCGGCGGGCTGGGAGGGGCTCTGGCCTGCCTCCCCGGCCTTCGCTGGCCAGGTAGGAGCACCTGGGAGACAGCCGGGTGGCGGGAAGTCCTGGCTTTGGGGTCGGAGGACAGTGTCGGGAGAGCGGCGGGATAGCAGGCGCGGACCCGGCTGTGCGTACCTGTGCGCTTTGGCTGCGTCTGGGACCATCGAGGGAACCCCTGCGCAGATTAACCCGCGCGGTGCGCACGACCGTGCTACACTTTGGTGATACGCACGCTCGCACCCGTTGTGCAGCACACACTGGGCACAGTTGTGCATGCTGCGCCCCACCAGGCAGCGCCCCGGAGCTGGACCCCGAAGTCGCTGCGACCTCTCGCCCTTGATCCATGTCCTGGGAGACTTCATACCTGGGGGCGAGGAGGGTGTGCCTAGCGCGCGGGCGGCTGCGGTGCGCCCAGGTGTCCAGGCCGAGGGAGCAGGCAGAGCGTGGGCGCGCGCGCGTCGGATAGGGCAGTACCCATCAGGTTCCGGGAAGCTCTAGGCCGGGCCCAGGGAGCTGAGGGGGCACGTCCGCGTAGCGGTGGCTTCCCCGGATTCCTAATGGGACGCATATGCTCTGGCCTCTGATTTAAAAAGAAGTCTGATTTATGGGACCGCCGTTTGGGGGAATTTAAGCTGGATGCTACTGATTAAACTTCAGAGCCAGCTCGCCCTCCCTTCCCCTCCTCTCTCCCCTCCCCCGCCCCCTCCTTTACACGCGGGCCACGTCCGGGGTCGCCTCACGCGGCCTCCCGGCTCCCCGCGCCGCCCCTCCCCCGCGCGGCCGCAGTCCTAATAGATCGCCGCTCCCCACCCCCTTTTAATAACGACGCCGCCAATTTCTCCTCCAACTCCTAGGAAATTACTATCCTACCAGTTTTCCTTCTATAAATAGTCGCGCATCTTGAAACAAAAGTTCGCAACCACAGCCAGATGCTGCGCGGCCCGCGGTTTCCCGGGCTGAGGGGCATAATTACAAGGTCCGGGCGCAGAGAGCGCTCCAGACCCGGCGGGCAGCCCCGGCTGCTGCGGAGGCATCGCCTGCGGGGCGGGAGGGGGAGCGGGCGCGCGGCCACGGGAGAGGAGGCTGAGACCCTGGAGGGCCGGAGGGTCCCCTCCCAGGCACCGGATCGGTTGGGAGGCCTTGGCCTCGAATCCTCTGCTGCCTCTTGGCGCCCGGCTTCCCTTTAGCGGGCCGGCAGCTCCCGGGCTGGGAAGGAGCTGTCTCCATGGCCCCGGTGCTCACAGGGACGACTCGGAGGTGGAACCAGGTGCTTTGCAGCAAGGTGTGCAGGGTGGGGTGCTGAGGGAGGGGGACTCTGCCCCTCTGGAGACCCGGAATTTTCCTTTGGAATAGCTCCCCATCCCTGTCTTTCCTTGCAGAGGCTTGCTCTAGGCTGCGCTCTTAAGAGCGGGGGTTTGCCACAGGCTCCTGGGCAGGTTCTGGGGTCCAGGGTGGGTGGGGGCCCCTGAGGCATACGTGGGGGGCCGCCTTACCCTCTGTGTCTGCTTCAAGCACCAGTCCTGCCTGCTGGGCTTTGTAAGGGGCAGGGTGGGCACTCGGAGACTGAGAGGCAAGGCTCCAGGAGTGAGAAAGAGGCAACCCAGAGGGGGGCTTCCCCTGACCTGCCTGAGGCTCAGAGGCCCCAGGTGGGTGAGGAGCCACAGGTGGGAGTGGCCAGGTCGTTCCAGTCTGGAACCCTGCTTCAGGTATGTCGGTTCCCAGGTTCCCACGGCAGGGAGACCACCGGGGGCTGGGAGCTGCTGGAGGTAGGATCCACGTGAGCCCACCCTCCGTCCAGCCTGTGGAATCTGAGGGCACCAGGGTGAGGAGGGGGCCCTGGGTGGAGGCATTTTTCTGCTCCAGGGAACTTTCTAGAAGGCATCCCTTTGCTGGGATCACAGACCCTGGCGAACAGTTGATCGGGCCCCTTTCATCTGGGCTGCTCTCCCAGCTCTCACTGCCCGGCTGTGGTCCACACGCGGCCAGTCCCAGACGCACGCCTGGGCGCCTTGCTGATGGGGTTGGACGGGTGTGCTGGCCTGGAAGGCATACTGAGCTGCACCGGGCAGCACTGGCTACCCTCACTGGAGCTCCGGGGCCTCAGGAGGTCAGTGAAGGTTCAAGGCAGGGCAGGTGGGGGCCACAGGCTGGGGCGGGGGTGGAGGAGGGGCTATGGTGCTGGGGTGGGAGGCAGGGAGGCCTGGCCTGGGGCTGGAGCCAGGACTTAGGCTCTGGGCCACTGTCCCAGGCAGGCCCTTCCAGTCTTGGCCTCTGTCTCCCAGATGTGGGGGTTGATGTGATGAGCCCCCCCCCCAGGTCTTCCGGTATAGCTCCTCATGGTGACCGCCCGCTCTTGGCGCCAAGTGACTCATGGTGACGGCCTGGTTACTCACCGACCACCTGGCTGGGGGGTAGGGGTGCTGGCGCTCACCACTGCCTTGCCGAGCCTTTTCTAAGCTGCTGCTGTGGCTTTGTTGGTGATGCCAGCGCACTCCCAGAAGCCCTTGTGGGCATGACCCCTGTGAAGGGGGCAGGAGGGTACATAGGTCAGTCTCAGGGAGGGTGTTTGTCTGTCCAGGGATGGGAGGGGCTCGGGAGGGCCATGTGCCTGCCTCCAGGACTCGGGACCCCCAAGCGCCCTCTGGTTAGACGCCCACCAAGGTAAAGCTCCGTAGACACATCCAGGGCGTGGACTGGCACCCTCAGGTGCAGGGGCCATGGGGCATCCTGGAGTGGGTCCTGACCCCTTCTGCTGAGACAGTGAGAGGGGGCCCACGCCTCCCTCCCCCCACGTGTGTCTGACTCATGCACAACCCTTTAGACCAGTCTCCCTGGAGTGCACAGAGGCCCAAGCACAGGCGGGTGAGCGTGTCTGAGCTCCCGACCTGGCTCCACCTCCCGCTGCCAGGTCCCCTGCTCACAGGTGGCAGCTCCACCTGTGAGAGAGCGCAGAAGGGCCGGGAGGGGCTCATTTTTCATCCTCAGGTGCTGGCCACACAGAGGGAGGAGGAGTGAACTCCCTACTCAGGAGGGCTTCCTGGAGGAGATGACCTTCCCACGGGGTTTTGAAGTGTGGGTAGGAGCTGACTCCTGGGAGACTCCTGCAGGGGCTTTTTCCTGCAGAGGTCAGCAGATGTGGGAGGGGCCTGGAGAGGAGGCAGCCCTGAGGCGTGGAGTCCAGGTTGCATTTCCCTGCATGAGCTGCCCGGTGGTGTCTGGGAGGTCTGGTGGCCATGCTGCTGGCTCGGATGCACTCCATCCCTTGCATTGGACACAGGTCCCTCTGCCCCTCACCCTGTGACTGCCTGTGGGGAACCCTGTGCGCTCTGTCCCTGGCTGGCTTGGGCACCATCAGATGGGAGGTGTCTGCTGGAGGGTCCAACGGCTAGTGCAGCCTGGGAGCTGTCCACTCCTCAGCGGGCTCCCCACCACCATCCCTGCCGACGCCGCCATTTTGCATGGCTCAGGTCCGGCTCCTCCAGGGGGGACAGGCGGCTGGGCGCCCTCCCTTGTCAGATGAAACCCGGGCCCAGGGCTCTCTCGGGCTGATGAAAGGGTCATTGTGTGGCTCGGGCCGACCGCTGGCCCAAGACAAAACCTCCGTTTGTCCTCCGTCTCCAGCACGGGGCTGGGGGCCTCCCCTCGGGCTGGGCCCAGCGGCGCGGTGGGGGTGGGGACAGGTGCGCCCTCCTTCCATCCCCTCCTTTCTTCCTGCTCAGCGGCAGGGCCCCTCCTCGCGCCCCCCACCTAAGGCGGCCTTGCCCCTGACAGTGGCATGCTTGGGGCAGACCCAGTGCCATGGGAGGGGCTCTATGGGGCTGGGCAAGCACGTGCCTAGGGGAGGGGGCTGCTGGGGGCCTGCATGAGACCCGGACTCCTGTCCCGTGCCTCCTGGTGTCCAGGAGAATGGGAGACACCCAAAATGCAGTCCCCCATGCACTGGGCAGCCCAGGGCACTGGCCATGCTTGAGGGGTACCCAAGTGAGCATCCGGTGTAAGTGCACCCCATTGCTGCCCTGGAGGAACAGGCCCTGAAGGCTGCAGGCCCAGGGAGCAGCTTCCCTGCAGGGAGCTAGGACGTGTCCTGTCGTGGGGGTCCCTTTCTGCTGAGGCGCCAGGTCTCGGAACCTCTGAACTCGGAAAGAAGACAAGCACCACCTGACTGAGGGCTCTGCTGGTCTGTGTGTGTGCGCGCATGGGCGCGTAGGGTGGGGCACGGCCGGTGATGGGTCTGTGTGTGTGCGCATGGGCGCGTAGGGTGGGGCACAGCCGGTGATGGGTCTGTGTGTGTGCGCATGGGCGCGTAGGGTGGGGCACGGCCGGTGATGGGTCTGTGTGTGTGCGCATGGGCGCGTAGGGTGGGGCACGGCCGGTGATGGGTCTGTGTGTGTGCATGGGCGCGTAGGGTGGGGCACGGCCGGTGATGGGTCTGTGTGTGTGCATGGGCGCGTAGGGTGGGGCACGGCCGGTGATGGGTCTGTGTGTGTGTGTGCGTGCATGGGCGCGTAGGGTGGGGCACGGCCGGTGATGGGTCTGTGTGTGTGCGCGCATGGGCGCGTAGGGTGGGTCACAGCCGGTGATGGGTCTGTGTGTGCGCATGGGCGCGTAGGGTGGGGCACGGCCGGTGATGGGTCTGTGTGTGTGCGCATGGGCACGTAGGGTGGGTCACAGCCAGTGATGGGTCTGTGTGTGTGCGCATGGGCGCGTAGGGTGGGGCACGGCCGGTGATGGGTCTGTGTGTGTGCGCGCATGGGCGCGTAGGGTGGGGCACGGCCGGTGATGGGTCTGTGTGTGCGCATGGGCGCGTAGGGTGGGGCACGGCCGGTGATGGGTCTGTGTGTGTGCGCATGGGCGCGTAGGGTGGGGCACGGCCGGTGATGGGTCTGTGACACCCTTGGAAGCGTCTTTTC